GCTGCGCGTTGTACAAATGAAGCCGCTCAGGTAGCAAAGTCGCCCTGCTGATACACAGTGTTGGACCTAAAACCAAAGGGCATTTCCAGTGGTTTTTTGAAACTATATGTAGCAATCCGTTCCCTGCAGAAAAACGTTTCAGAGTTACCACTGTGCAGTAAGAGGGAATTGAGAAAAAAAGTCATGTCAGTTGTCCCAGACATAAGGGTGTAGAGTCCCTGCAAAGAGCCCTGTGGCTAAGCAAACAGGGCCCCTAAGAAGGCAGACTTGGTTTTATTTTTCTGTGGAAGATTTTACTGCATTTTGTACAAGAAAAGCTGTAAACGTGCAACAAAAAAGCAGCATTTCAGCAGCCATCAACACAGTTGAAGAGAGAGGTCATCACGTTACTGCCGCCAGGAGGGCAGGGACGCCGGGCTGTGAGCCCTCCCTGGGGCACGGCCTGCTCGTCTTTGCTCGGGCTTGCCCTGCTGACCCAAATATGCTCTTTTTGTGAATGTATTGGCGAAAAACAACATGTGATTGGGTTAGTTAAAGAGTGGCCACAGCCTATGGACTAGCGTACCCGCAGGCTTCCTCCAAGGAGGCTCCTTCGGCGGCGCGCGCCTGGCCTCCGCGAGTCCAGCCCTCCGCGCTCTCGGTTGCCTGCTGGAAATGTATTCGCACATGCTGCGCGCCGAAGTCTCCTGCTCTGTCAACTTTGCATGATTTTGCCGGCTGAACTTGGGGCTCGGGGGTGCTCTGCCTTTCCGACACTGCCGCCAGCCCCGCGAGGGAACCCTTGTCCCGGTGCGCGCCGGCGCCCTGAACGGGGCCGGCCTCAGTCCCAGCGGGGGCAGCTGCATCCCGAAAAATGGAGCTTTCTGGCCCTTGCTCCTCCGCTCCCTCCTCCCTGGGGAGCGGATACGATTTGACCTTCCTGGAATCGCTCTGAGCGAGGAATAAGCCTGTGCTGGGAAGGGGGGCGAGCGCCGTGAGCCCCCCTCCCCGACCCTGTACGCTCCCACTGCTGAGGTGCGGGTTTACGTGCCCGCCCGTAGCTGACGTGTATTTTAGGTTGAGTTCTTCCAGGCGATGACTCCACCGCTAGACGTGGCAATGGTCGGGTAAACGACTCTGCTCCATATTGACGCGCTTCATGTTTCTGCTGGGGCCGTCGCAGCCGCCTCGGACGCAAGCGACCTCAATGCCCCACGCGTGCAGATGGAGAGAGCGTAAGCTGTTAGCTGGAGCCCTGCTCAGGCTCAGGGAAAGCTCAGCCCAGAGCTTTCTAAAACCTTGCTAATGATAATAATTAGCTCATGTTTTAATGCTGGTAAATTATGATGATATCCATACTATTGTAATACCCTTAATCAGTACCGGTGGAGGCATGGGGAGACCAGGTACAAAAGCTGTTGGCATAAAACCTGTATATCAGAAACCAGACTTGGGGTGAGTTCTTGGGCGTGAACGTGACCGCAGGACCATTTTTGTATTCGTTTCACTTACTGGGCCTCAGAGAACTGGGAAACGGGGAGCACGAGCATACCTGTTAGACCAGCCTCAAGCTCCAGTTCAGTAGCAGGCTTAAGCGTGTGCTTAACTTTAAGCATATGATTAATCACAGCCCTAGTCCACAGCGTAATTAAACATGCGCGTATGTACTTTGTGCTGTGCAGTACCAGCCTGCAGGCATGCTCCAAGTACTGGTGTGCCTGAGAAAGTGGTGAATCAGAGAGTGATTTTTGGCTGGAGTTTGGAAATGAGCTTAAAAGAGTTAGTTAGGCACCCAGAGCTCGTTATATTTGACTAGCTAAGGAAAAGCTGGTCTCCTTACCAGAAGTAGCAAGGTGTGGCCATTTACTTTATGGTAATGCCTTCGCTTTGTTTAAAATGCAATGATTTAAAGAGCCCTTTGGCTTGGCGATTTCCTGCTGCTCTCCTCCAAAGCTTCACTTCCCTTAGCGCTGGCCAGACCAGCCGCTGCTGCCGGAAAGCCCCGGCCGGCCCGGC